GAGAAATCATCGTTTCGTACCGGGACATCAAAAAAAGATAGGAAAAAGAGAGGAAAAAGATAGAGAGGGGAGAAAAAAAGAAAAAGAAAAAAAAGAGAGGAAAAAGAGGAGAAATCATCGTTTCGTACCGGAAATCGTCGTTTCGTACCGAGAAATCATCGTTTCGTACCGGGAGATAGGAAAAAGAGAGGAAAAAAAAGAGAGGAAAAAGATAGGAAAAAGAGGAGAAATCATCGTTTCGTACCGGGAAATCAAAAAAAGAGAGGAAAAAGAGGAGAAATCATCGTTTCGTACCGGAAATCGTCGTTTCTTACCGAGAAATCATCGTTTCGTACCGAGAAATCATCGTTTCGTGCCGAGAAATCATCGTTTCGTACCGGGACATCAAAAAAAATAGGAAAAAGAGAGGGAAAAAAAAGAAAAAGAAAAAACAGATAAGAAAAAGAGAGGAAAAAGAGGAGAAATCATCGTTTCGTACCGGAAATCGTCGTTTCGTACCGAGAAATCATCGTTTCGTACCGAGAAATCATCGTTTCGTACCGGGACATCAAAAAAAGATAGGAAAAAGAGAGGAAAAAGATAGAGAGGAAAAAAAAAGGAAAAAGAAAAAAAAGAGAGGAAAAAGAGACGGAAAAAGAAGAGAAATCATCGTTTCGTACCGGAAATCGTCGTTTCGTACCGAGAAATCATCGTTTCGTACCGAGAAATCATCGTTTCGTACCGGGAAATCAAAAAAAGACAGGAAAAAGAGAGGAAAAAAAAGAGAGGAAAAAGAAAGGAAAAAGAGGAGAAATCATCGTTTCGTACCGAGAAATCATCATTTCTCACCGAGAAATCATCGTTTCGTACCGGGAAATCAAAAAAAGAGAGGAAAAAGAGAGGAAAAAGATAGAGAGGAAAAAAAAAAGAAAAAGAAAAAAAAGATAGGAAAAAGAGGAGAAATCATCGTTTCGTACCGGAAATCGTCGTTTCGTACCGAGAAATCATCGCTTCGTACCGAGAAATCATCGTTTCGTACCGGGACATCAAAAAAAGATAGGAAAAAGATAGAGAGGAAAAAAAAAAGAAAAAGAAAAAAAAGAGAGGAAAAAGAGGAGAAATCATCATTTCGTACCGGGAAATCAAAAAAAGAGAGGAAAAAAAGAGAGGAAAAAGAGGAGAAATCATCGTTTCGTACCGGAAATCGTCGTTTCGTACCGAGAAATCATCGTTTCGTACCGAGAAATAAATCATCGTTTCGTACCGGGAAATCATAAAAAGAGAAGAAAAAGAAAGGAAAAAAAGAGGAGAAATCATCGTTTCGTACCGGAAATCGTCGTTTCGTACCGAGAAATCATCGTTTCGTACCGAGAAATCATCGTTTCGTACCGAGACATCATCGTTTCGTACCGAGAAATCATCGTTTCGTACCGGGAAATCAAAAAAAAGAGAGGAAAAAGAGGAGAAATCATCGTTTCGTACCGGAAATCGTCGTTTCGTACCGAGAAATCATCGTTTCGTACCGAGAAATCATCGTTTCGTACCGGGAAATCAAAAAAAGAGAGGAAAAAGAGAGGGAAAAAAAGAGAGGAACAAGAGAGGAAAAAGAGAGGAAAAAGAAAGGAAAAAAAGAGAGGAAAAAGAAAAAAAAGATAGTAAAAAGAGAGGAAAAAGAAAAAAAAAAGAGGAAAAAGAGAGGAAAAAGAAAGGAAAAAAAGAGAGGAAAAAGAGAGGAAAAAAAAGAGATGAAAAAGAGGAGAAATCGTCGTTTCGTACCGGGAAATCAAAAAAAGAGAGGAAAAAGAGAGGAAAAAAAAAGAGGAGAAATCATCGTTTCGTACCGGAAATCGTCGTTTCGTACCGAGAAATCATCGTTTCGTACCGGGAAATCAAAAAAAGAGAGGAAAAAGAGATGAAAAAAAAGAGAGGAAAAAGAGGAGAAATCATCGTTTCGTACCGGAAATCGTCGTTTCGTACCGAGAAATCATCGTTTCGTACCGGGAAATCAAAAAAAGAGAGGAAAAAGAGAGGAAAAAAAGGAGAAATGATCGTTTCGTACCGGAAATCGTCGTTTCGTACCGAGAGATCATCGTTTCGTACCGGGAAATAAAAAAAAGAGAGGAAAAAGAGAGGAAAAAGAGAGGAAAAAGAGAGGAAAAAGAGAAATCATCGTTTCGTACCGGAAATCGTCGTTTCGTACCGAGAAATCATCGTTTCGTACCGAGAAATCATCGTTTCGTACCGGGAAATCAAAAAAAGAGAGGAAAAAGAGGAGAAATCATCGTTTCGTACCGGAAATCGTCGTTTCGTACCGAGAAATCATCGTTTCGTACCGAGAAATCATCGTTTCGTACCGGGAAATCAAAAAAAGAGAGGAAAAAGAGAGGAAAAAAAAGAGAGGAAAAAGAGAGGAAAAAGAGGAGAAATCATCGTTTCGTACCGGAAATCGTCGTTTCGTACGAGACATCATCGTTTCGTACCGAGAAATCATCCGAGAAATCATCGTTTCGTACCGGGAAATCAAAAAAAGAGAGGAAAAAGAAAGGAAAAAGAGAGGAATAAGAAAGGCAAAAGAGAGGAAAAAGAGGAGAAATCATCGTTTCGTACCGGAAATCGTCGTTTCGTACCGAGAAATCATCGTTTCGTACCGAGAAATCATCGTTTCGTACCGAGAAATCATCGTTTCGTACCGGGAAATCAAAAAAAGAGAGGAAAAAGAAAGGAAAAAAAAGAGAGGAAAAAAGAGAGGAAAAAGAGATGAAAAAAAAACAAAGAAAAAGAAAAGAAAAAGTGATTCACCAAGTGATATACACAAGTGTCACTATCGCCAGGGAGAGGGTTTCGACTGGGAACCTCCCAGTGACACGTCACCTGGTTGACTGGGGTGGATTTAGTAAGGTTCTTTGCGCTGATTGGTGGTGCTTCTATGTTTTAAGACATGGTTATAGAGTTGGTTTTTAACATATGTTACAAGTCATTCAGGGATATGTATGTGTTGCCCAAAACTCTCTTGATTTAACATATTGGAGAAAACGTATTGCTTCAAACATGTTTGTCTTGTTTAGATGTTACTGTTTCCATGATCGACTCATGTAAATTCATATGTCACATGCCTTGCCGAAGGCTAAACCCTCCTGAGCAAAGATCATTTACCAGCGTTTCCATAATGAATTCAGATTTCCTGTCCTGGCCAAGGAGGTACACCTTCCTGAGCAAGGATTTCATTCACAAGTTTTCATTATCACACCTCCTGACCAGGACCAAGGAGGTGCACGCAACAATCATTGACATGTTTTCATTATCCATCAGTGTCCTGACCAAGGAGGTGCACCCTCCTGAGCAAGGATCATTGACATTCATCATATAAGCTTCCTTGGCCAAGGAGGTACACACTCCTGAGAAAAGTGTTTTGTGAACTTCTTCTTTTTTTTTGCCACGCTCATTGCGCAGAGAGGCTTCTATAGTTTCCTGGACAATTGGTCAACACCAGCAGCTACTAGGGGGAAGTCACGCAAGGAGGCTCCTTAGGTCTCCTGTGTCAGTAGCAGCGTTTTCTCAACCAATGTTTTCAGCCATGTGTCAGACGAGCCAAGCGACAAGATTTGGCCAGCTCCTCATGCCGGTGAGCCCAAAGAGGTCGACTTTGTTTTGCAATTCTGAGAAGCCATGGAAGCAGGATGCAGCAACCTCAGCCCAGATGGTTCAACAGCAGCTTCTCCGCAGGGTGGGCTCAAAGACAAGCATGGCTATTTGATGAACAGCGCATCTTGACTGCACCAGAAGTTTCGACTCTTTTTGCTCAAGTTTTGTTACTAAACTAAACCCCTATGTTTAACACTGACAGCTGAGAACTCGGAGACACGCCAGTTAGCCAAAAAGATCCGAGCAGAGCTGCGCTGTTGAAGCTGCTATTTCCCAGACTGAGATTCAGATACTTGCTGAAGATCATTTTTGGACGTCGCCTCTGACCGTTGTCCGGAGTGTATCAACGTTTCATCGCCGCAGGGGAGACGCGGCTGAGGGGAAAAAATGGCCGAAGGGGTCACTTTGAACGGTGGCTGAGTGTCATTCAGTAATTTCTTTCATGGCGGCAGCCAGCTTGGCAGGCTTTCCTATCAGTTGATCAGTCATTATTATTGTTAGCTGCAAGCCGCACACATTTCCCTTTCTGCTTGACCGGCTCAAACCTAGGGATCAGCAAGTATGTCAGAGCAGTTGGGCAACTGTTCGCTTGGCGGCTATGATGATGATGCGCATGTGAAAGCTTGCTCTGCAGGTGCAAAATGTGCTCGATGCACATGGGTGAAATATAAGCCTGTATGGCAGAAAGAATTAGCATGGTTGGACGCCAAAATGAATATGGAGAGTGGCAGTTGGGGCTTGGGCTGCCGACTGTGCCATGATGCTCAGGAAGTGAGTCCTGAAGCCATGTCCAAGTTTCCGGTTTCCAGGCATCACTTTGCAAGGTATGAAGTGAACAGTGGTGACATTCGTGTGGCTCGTTTCCGCAAACATGCTGCTTCGCCTGCTCACCGCACTGCTGAAAGCTACCTATCTCCTGTGTGTCAGTGCCACCCGCCCAACTCAAGCAAACTCGTCCACGAAGGAGGTTCAAGCGAAGTCTCCTGTGCGCGACGACGGAAGAGAAAAGGTGAAATTGTTTTCGGCAACTTTGATTGCAGAAGGAGTGTCAAGAGCCTCCTGTCCTGCTGCAACTACGGCTGTCAATTGGCATGCGCTGCAATAGCAATCAAGGAGGCTCCAGTAGACTCCTGCAAGGACGGAGGCATCGTACTTCTGAATTCACTCAGTAACAAGGTACAAGGAGGTGCAAGAGGTCTCCTGGTCCTGTACAGGCCGAACGTTTCATGTTGCAAGGAGGCTTCTGCAGTCTCCTGTTGTCTATTTTTGCCTTCCGCGGGCAGCAAGTTGAGTTAAAAAAGATCGCTACTAAGGCCTCTCCCTACTATTTCCAGGAAGCAGTTCGACCGCCATGTGTTGCATGTGTTCACCATGTACAGCATGGCAGGCAAATACGCGTTTGGCCGCCGTGTTCGTACACGGTTTACCATGTGCTAACATGGCAGCCTCCTTTCTTTATCAAGGAGGCTGCGCCATGTTAGTGCACGGTCTGCCAGGTGGTAGCACGGCAGGCAAATACGCGTTTGGCCGCCGTGTTCTTACACGGTTGACCATGTGCTAACATGGCAGTCCTGGTCTTTGAACTCTCCAGAGGACCCGAATTTAGTACGGGTCATGAGCATGGCAGCCAAATACGCGTTGACTCTTGCAGCTGGCCCGAATTTAGTACGGGTCACGAGCATGGCAGTCAAATACGCGTTGAATGCTGCAGTTGGCCCGAATTTAGTACGGGTCACACGCATGGCATGGTACAACCGTCTTGATTTTAGCAGGAGACATTTTAAGATCCTTGCAGTCCTGGCCCAGCTGTGAGTGTACCTCCAACTTAGTTATTACTTCCCACGGCTGAGTTTCTGCAGAGTGGGTATTCGCCGAGACGTGCAAGTGAAGCACTTTGAGTGGCCAGTGCCTTTCAAGGAGCGGCTCACGCTCAAGCAGCTCCTTGGCAATCCTGCCATGGAATGGAAGTGCAACTTGCGGGAGAAGACACACGATGTCGACGGCTCAGCTCTATCCAGCACAGCCCGCAAGAACTTGATCCAGTTTCAAGACTTTTTGGACAAGAATCCGGCCAAACAAGACTCTGACTTCATTGTCGACACAGGCGGTTCTTCAGCAACTTGGATGGAGGACAAATGCCCCTGCCTCACTGCCACCAGATGCAAAGGAAAGCATTGCTACTGGTGGCATCAAGGCCAGAGGTTCCTCACCCCGATAGTTTTTTTTTGCTTCAAGGCGTGTGGCCTGGGGCCTACAAGCCTGGAGATGTTGAAGAACTTCAACGTTTTCCACAAAGGGTATTAGGACATATGATTGGCAACGCCATGTCTGTTTGTGTAGTGCGACGCTTAGTGCGATGCATTTTCCAAGCACGTGGCATTCTTTGAAGAATAGGCGGCATGTTTCCAGTTTGACCTGTTGAAAATCATTTGAGTCAGCTGCGCTAGCCGTGGTTACCACATTGCTTGCGCATTCAGTGCTGAACATTGCCGCAATGCAATTCAACCTCGGTTTTGCTTTGTCCATCGCATCGACCCATTCGACCCAGGTTTTGGCTCACAAAACTAGTCTAACCTGCAACATGGCAGCAGCAGGTGAGAAGAGATTGCCCCAAGGTGTCCTCAACAGAGCTGACTTGCAGTTGGGCGTCCAAGCCTTCTTGCTGTGGGATCCAGCTCTCAAGGAGAAGAGCGCGTTTGAGCTGGAAAATGCTCGTGAGGCTTTGATTTTTTGCCAGCCTTTCTTCAAGGAAGACCGCACCAGGTCATGTGCGCTTGCCTGTGCCATCATGTTTTTCACCATCCTTCAGATGACGCTGGACCGCCCTGGCACAGAGCCCACAGACTGTACATGGACCGCTCACCTTTACACCAGGTCTGGACAAATCCAGCCTATGCAAGAGAAGATCGAGAAATGTCCAGCTTTGACATCGCGCGGGTTGCTTGCAGGAAAGGTTGGTGAGTTGGATAGCGCTGCTTCTTTTCTTTTGGGCGCCATCAACGCCATGCCTCATGACCTGCTGCCCCAGGCGCCGCATTTCGAAGGCTGCTTCGCTTGCCTGGACGACTTGTTGGTGCATATGAAGTTTCGACTTCACCAAAGTTCTTCTGCTAGTTAGGTTCGGGACCGAGGCATGTGAGCTGAACAAATGTCCTTTGGTGCTGCTCGCTTTCGCATAAACACAGTGGCCCCGAGAACGACCCGGAAACTTTCAAGGAGGACATCGCCCTTAATATCGAAACCTCCTGTAACGCCAAAGTTATTGATTGATCATAGCTCGACAGACATTATAAGGAAGGCCTTGCAAGGTCTCCTGCGCACAAGCCTGTTTTCAAGGAGGTGTTGCCTCCTTTGTTAAAATTTATGGGAGGCGCTGCTGTAAAGTTTGTGGAGGGCGCCACCGCGCAGAGCGCGGAGGGGCTCTGTGCCACAACAAAAACACCAGAATCACCTACTATACACATCGGATCTTTGCACAGTGACGCTTAGCATCAGTCATATTTGTTTTTTAGTTATAACTGATCGATTTGTAAACATCCGGAACACCATTCTTCAGTTTTAAATCCACATTACCACCCACTAAATAAAAGCAACGCCAATCACTTCATCACAGAAGCACCATCAATCAGCACAAAGAACCTTACTAAATCCACCCCAGTTGAGATATGTTGAGTGAGGTGCTTTCTGCCAGGAAGACCATGAGAGTTTTCAGACGATCCTCTCACCCAGCTCTGCAAATGCAACGGGCTGCCAGATTTTAAGCTTTGAACAAAGATGGTTGAACACAACATTCCAAACTTTGCTGAACAAACTTCATAAGACAGCTCTGTCAGAGCTGTGCATAAGATTCAGTACTTACACATGGCAACCTGTTCGAGTTGCTCATTGATCTATTTGGCTCCGTTGATCCTGGTGTCCCTAGAGTCTTGTGAAGAGCTGAAATTCGACAGTGTAGCTCGTCGCACTTAAGATCCCATGAAGGATCCGTGCGTTCCCACAGAAAAATGCGGTCGTGTGCACGATCGCCCACTGCTTGAGGTTTAGGCTCCTGGAAGGTTTCCTCAGGAAAGCTTCAGATCTAAGAACTCTGTTTGGCAGCTTTCAGAAACTCTCCCGGAACTCTCTAGGAGCTCTCTGGAAACTCTCTAGGAACTCTCTGGGAACGCCCTAGGAACTCTCTCGACTGCCAAAATTTTTGGTAACTCTCTAGAAGCTAGGTCCTCTCTGGGAACTGTCTAGTAAATCTCTACGCAGTTTAAGACTTAATCGTGGTTACCATGTCTAATTCTTATCGTGGTTACTAAGTTTTTCTATCGTGGTTACTATGACTAGTGCTTAACGCGGTTACTACGTAGTCTCATATTTTTATGGCAATGAATACTAATTAATATGTTATGGTAGTTGCCTATTAGAAATGATCCATGATCATTACCCTTTCTGGTCATATTTCTGGGGATGGGTCATATGACACCTGTGACACCATATGAATGGGGGAACAACCATCAACCATCTATAATTTTGTTTGGTAGGGTGCCAGCGTTTTGACTCATCGCCATATTCTGGCAATTGCCTAATATGATATGGTAATTACCCTGGCTGCCCTATACCTAGTTTTGAGCGTGTGACATGTACCATGATATGGTTTCTCGCATGGCATGGCTCAACCAGCCTGAGTCACGGGCCTTAGAAGCTTCTGAGTGAAGGGAAAAACTAGCTATGATAGGTTTTATGATTTTTGTTATTAATATTGATCTATACTGTATATGATATATGTGTGTGTTTGTATGTTTGTAGGTATAATGATCCATTTATGCGCGTATGAGAACCATTGGTTTGTTGGTAAGGGGGGATTCGAACAGCAAACATGTGGGTATGAGCAGTTATAATATGAGGAATACTGGGGACAGAATTAATTATGCAACAGTTTGGCAAACAGGTTTGTCCGAAAATGGGGTATACCATGCGTATAATAGTGTACTGTATACCCCAAAATAATCAAGATACGCATTTGGAAAGGTAAACTATGACAAAAACTTATTTTTTTGAGGGGTAACCCCACTATTGCACAAATTGAAATGTCCCATTCGGGATTTTCCACACCACTTTTTTTTTTGGCTGCTGATGATTTGACAGGAAATCAATTGGAAAGCATTGCCTCCATTTGTGCCTGCATGCGAAGATGGACGTCTTGAGCAGCTGGCTGCTTGCCCACTTCGCATCCGGCGGATGTTCGTCCCAGGGTAGCCTCTGGTAATTAAACATAGCTATGGAAAATTACCATTTTTAATAGGTAAATCAACTAATTATCAATTAGCCATTTTACATAGCTATGTTAGTTTACCAGAGGGTACATGTTTGTTGACTCATGACACATGAGCCGTCATTAGCGCCTCCCCAGACAAAAGCCGCTCTGAGGCTAGAAAGAACGGCTGCAAGTTCTATTCGAGCACGTCCTCTTTAACAGGCTACAGCAAGACCTACCTTTCTTCTTCCCCTTTCGTGCGCACAGCTTTGCAGACGCACATGACAGTTGTCCAAGCCAGGGAGTTGTTTCATGTTTTTTCCAATCTTGCACCATTCGTATCATGCAGATGAACATAAATTGACATAAACAAATGATATGGCAATGTTTGCATCAAAGATGCACGGGCGCGAGGTGTTCTTTCCCGGTGCTACTTCGCAATTTCGCAGCACCGGGGCTTTGATCCCAAAGGTCTTACAAAGTCTTTTCTGAAGAGGCTGCAGAATTGGAGTATCCGGAGCAATGCCAAACACCACCACCGATCTTTCAATATCTAGTATATGATGTTTTTATGACTTACACATATATGACACATATATATATACATATTATACATATAATTATCCAACTCAAGAAATCCTCTCCTCTCAAGAGGAAATTTAAGCGCTTGTCTTGGACAATGTCACCAGACGCAAGGCGCAGAACCTTCAGCCCGAGCACCAGATGGCCAACAGTAAATACCTCAGAAATCTGAAGCAAATCTGTTGCGCAGGGTCTCGAACTTTCAATCAAAGAGAATACATTGACGTTGGATCATGTTGCATCTATATCTTTCGCATTATTTCGCACTCATGTGCGCCTTTTGCAAGTGCAAGTGAGATCAATACATGGGTTTCACCCTATAGAATCAGTGGTGAATCCATATGGGGATCCGTTGCAGCTGACAGGTAGTCTACTTGCGCGTGAATGAGCCTGGTGATGCATGGTCCCTGACAGCTGGCGGCGATGATGGGAACGATGCCACTGGGACTGCAGATCGCATGATAGGCATAGGAAGGCAACGAAGACACCATGAAACAGCTATTTATTTGATGGTTGCCAACTGACTTGATGCATGCTGTAGTTCAACCCTGCAAGCTTTTACAGTCTATTGGCCTTTGAAATTAAGACAGGAGAATGTTCTGCTGGACTTGGGCCTGCTGCTCGGACGCACGTAGCGGCTGGCAAGGATTCGGCGAGAGTAATGATGCACGGTGCCCCAATCTCCGTTTCGGAAGGGATTTGAAGTTGGAGCTTCTGTACCAATTGGTTTGGTGTTTTGGAGAACTAATCCCATTTCTAGCTATGGAATTCTGTGGTGACTGCCAAGGACGATGGAGTACCAGTTAACCACTCCCAAGTCAACATTTGATGCACGATTTCTGCAGAAGGACGAGGAAGCAGATCCACCGGACTTGGAGAAGGAAGGACTTGCATACAGAAGCTTGTCGACCTGATCGCGTGGCACCCCACAACAAAACTGCGCAACATGAAAGAGATGCGGGCTTGCCTCGTTGGATGTGCATCGCGGCTGGTGACCTACCAGTTACATCCCCGTGGATTTGTACATTTCAACATATTTCAACCATCCCCTGCAGCAAAAAGCCTGGGGATTTTCACAGCTCCATCAGCCAAGGATTTCTAAAGGTTGGACGTACCATGATGCGCTCTCAGCTGGATGCCATTCATCGAGGTGAAGTCTTTGTTGCTTGACGGTAGCATACGGTAGCCGTGTTCGCCATGAAAGCTACCCCTTTTGATGTGTTTTGATTGGTTATAGTAGGATGTAGGATTTTGTAGGGGGTTACATTCGGCTATACTATGTTGTGCTACTAGGTGTATCTTGGTTGTGTGGAGATTGATGGTTATAGGGGATTGTACTACGTGGTTTGTCTTGGTTGGGGAGGGTTGGCTGGTCTTTATAGGGGGCTATAGTACTTCATCTATCTATATATATATATAAGATTATAATATAAGGGATTGCACAGCCGGGATACCTATTAACCAACCTCTACTTGCAGATTCTGACAGTCCCCAATGATCCTACTACAGTAGAAGAGAAACTACAAGCCCTATGTAGACGATGCTTTGATGACCCTTGTCAGTACACAACAGTCTGCCATCTAAGGATGTGAAGACACGTGCAGTCTTTGACATCAGACATAACATCACGCATCTTGACTTCTTGGTGCCAGTGCGGCAATCCTCCTGTATTCTTTGAGTACTTGTGCTCAAGATGTGTTTTTGGTGTTACACTTTGCATGGCATCTTGATATAGCATGTGTTCCTGGCTGCGGGTGCCGGTTGATTAACATTCATTCGTATTCATTCTATCTTCCACAGGGCTCCATGCTTCACAAGTATCTCCATTTGGATCATTTGGATACTCAGTACATCTCAGGAGTCCAAGACGTGTTCTGTAAATATTTCAATATCCAAACATTGATTGCGGAGACAGCATTGGCCTATGACACAGCTTCATAAACGCTTGAGACATTTTCAGACCCTTTCCTTGCGTTTGGGTACTTTGCAGGAGGGCTCGAAAGTGCACGTGTCCCAAAGATATCCAAAGATACCCCCTTGAAATGCAGATTCATCACACACACATACATTCATTGTAGTTCTAATATACGTATTGTATCGTATTATATATGATTAATATTGATTAATAATTATATATGTGAAATGTCAACATCAATGTTCTCACATACGCACACACACACATACACACGTATGTATATATTATATTATATTAGAAGTGCATGATAGCGCAGGCATGTCAGAATACTCGTGCGTCGATCTGAGGGATTATGAGAACCAGAGGAAGTACCGCATCACTCGCATCCTGGGACAAGGTCCCAGCTACGAGCTGGAAATCTACGAGATGATGCGACACTTTCTCTGAAAATCGCGACCTCCCGTTTGGTGCGATTAGAAGTCAAATTTGTGTTGAAGAAGCGTGAATAAGAGTCGAATAATACTATATATATATTATATTATATGCGATTGATATATACTATGCAGACTCGATTAGTTCCCCAACAGCGTAAGCTTGGGGTCTTCAGCCATAGTAAAGGTTCCGGAGCAGGTCGGAGCAGCCAAATCCGCTGGGAACCAGGTTCCCAGGAAGGTTCCCAGGAAGAGTTTCCTTTTACAAGCGGATCCCTCGGAGCAGCCAAATCGGTATGGCGCAAGGTTGGGAACTGGGCTCCCAGGAAGAGGTTCCCAAGCAAGGTTTCTCAGCAAGGTTCCCAGCAAGAGGTTCCCAAGCCAGGTTCCCAGGAACAGGTTCCCAAGCAAGGTTCCCAGGCAAGGTTCCCAAGCAAGGTTCCCAACAACAGGTTCCCAAGCAAGGTTCCCAGGAAGAGGCTCCTAGCAAGAGGTTCCCAAGCAAGGTTCCCAGGAAGAGGTTCCAAGCAGGGTTCCCAAGCAAGGTTACTAGGCAAGGTTACCAGGAACAGATTCCCAAGCAAGGGTTCCCAGGAACAAGTTCCCAAGCAAGGTTCCCAGGAACAGGTTGCCAAGAACAGGTTCCCAAGCAAGGGCTCCTAGCAAGAGGTTCCCAAGCAAGGTTCCCAAGCAAGGTTCCCAGGAGATTCCCAGCAAGGTTCCCAGGAAGAGGTTCCCAAGCAAGGTTCCCAAACACGGTTGCCAGGAACAGGTTCCCAAGCAAGGTTCCCAGGAACAGGTTGCCAGGAACAGGTTGCCAGGAACAGGTTCCCAAGCAAGGGTTCCTAGCAAGAGGTTCCCAAGCAAGGTTCCCAAGCAAGGTTCGCAGCAGGTTCCCAGCAAGGTTCCCAGGAAGAGGTTCCCAAGCAAGGTTCCCAAACACGGTTGCCAGGAACAGGTTCCCAAGCAAGGTTCCCAGAAAAATGTTCCCAGAAAGAGGTTCCTAGCAAGGTTCCCAATTCCCAGGCAAGGTTGCCAGGAACAGATTGCAAGGGCCCCCAATATTTTCAGGAAGAGGTTCCCAGGCAAGGTTCCCAAAAGGTTCCAAGCAAGGTTCCCAGGAACAGATCCCAAGCAAGGGTTCCCAGGCAAGGTTCTCAGGAAGAGGTTCCCAAGCAAGGTTCCCAGGAATAGGTTTTGCAAGCACGGATTTCAGTAACTGTTTTCAAGGTTTCCAGGCAACATTTCCCCAGCAAGATTTCCAGGAACATGTTTTTCCCAAACAAAAGAAATTTCCCAGAACAGGTTTTCAAGCAAGTGTTTCCAGGAAGAGGTTTCCAGGAAGAGGTGTCCAAGCAAGGTTCCCAGCAAGCTGGTTCCCAAGCAATGCCTTCAGGAAGAAGTTCCCAAGCAAGGCTCCCAGCCAAAGGTTCCCAGGAACAGGTGCCCATACAAGGTTCCCAAGAACAGGTTCACAAGTAAGGTTCCCAAGCGCATTCCCAAGCAAGGTTCCCAGGAACAGAGTCTCAAGCAAGGTTGCTAGAAAGAGGTTCTCAAGCAAGTTTCCCTGGGAACACTTGCTCCTGGAAATTTTGCTGGGGAACCAGCTCTTTCTGGGAACGCTTGCTTGAGAACTTGTTCCTGCGAGGCTTGTTCCTGCTTAGAACTTTGCTTGGAAACGGTTCCGTGGACCTTGCTTGGGAACCGTTTTTGGGAACCGTACTTGCAAGCGGTTCCTAAGAATTTAGCCTTGCTTGGGAACCTCTTCCTGGATACCTGCTTGGGAGCCTCTTTTTGGAAACTTGCTTGGGAACGTTTTTCCCCAAGCGTACGTAAGCTTGGGGTCTGCAGCCACCCCAAGAACAAGATTTCCAATCAAATTTTCCAGGAACAGGTTCGCAAGCAAGGTTACCAGGAAAATTCCCAAGCCAGGTTCCCAAGTTCCCAAGCAAGGGTCCTGGGAACAGATTTCCAAGCAAGGTTCGCAAGACCAGGTTCCCAGGCAAGGTTCGCAAGAACAGGTTCACAAGCAAGGGTTCCAAGAACAATGCCCCAAGTTCCCAAGCAAGGGTTCCAAGAGCAGGTTTCCTTGCAGGGTAGCAAGGTTACCAAGCAAGGTCCTTGGGAACAGGTTCCCAAGCAAGGTTGCCACGAACAGGTCCCCAAGCAAGGTTTGCAAGCAAGCTTCTCAAGAACAGGTTCCCAAGCAAGGGTTCAAAGAAAAGGTTCCCAAGAACTGGTTCGGGTTCCAAGAACAAATTCTCTAGGAAGGTTCCGAGCAATAGGTTGCCAGCACGGTTCCCACGAACACGTTCCCAAGCATGGTTTCATGTTGCTCATGTTCCCAGGAACAGCTTTCCAAGAACAACTTGCAAAGCGAAATTTCGAAGAACATCTGCAAGCAAGGTTGGAAGCAAGAACAGAATCCCAAGCAAGGTTCCGAAGGACAGCTTCCTAAACAAGGTTCCCAAGCAAAGATACGAAAAACAGGTTCCCGAGCAAGGTCCCAACGAACAGGTTTGAAGCAAGCAGGCAAAGTTTCCAAGAACAGGTTCCCAAGAGAGAGTTTTCAAGAACCGGTTACCAGGCAATGCTCCCAAGAGCAGGTTCCTAAGAATAGGCTCCCAAGAACAGGTTCCCAAGCAAGGCTCCCAAGAACAGGTTCCCAAGCAAGGTTCCGATAAACAGGTGTCAAGCAACGTGTCCAAGAACATTGAACAACAGAATCAGAATACTGCAAAGTTTGAAGACTTGTTCTAATAACGGAATGGAGAGATTGAAGAAGAACTAGTTTTGCTTCAAAAAATGATACGGCACTCGCACATGGATAAACACACTAGACGACAGCGTGGCATGAATGAAAGCAGGAGGGAGGAGACGAGAAGATAATACACAAGAAAAATGAATGATGATGGTGATTATGATGACGGCAATGATGATGGCGATGCGATGGCAATGACGAGGATGAATGGCGATGGAGATGATGATGAATGATAGCTGACGCGAGTCAACTGTCATATATCCACGATTTCATGCCTGTTTTGTCCCTGCAGAGGGTTTGCTCCAGGGCTGGCACCTAAGTGAGAGTCAGAATCAAAAAAACATGTTGTCTTCACACAGCGAAAAAAAATACACAGAGAAGATTTTACACGCAGAAGCCTTTACACAGAGAGGGATTTACACAGAGCAGCTTTTACACAGACGCTTTTGACACAGACGCTTTTACATACAGAAGCTTTTACACAGAAAAGCCTTTTCTAAAGAAGCCTTACCACATGAAGCCTTTACACAGAGCAGTTTTACACACAGACGCTTTTTCACAAAGAAGCTTTTACACACAGGAACTTTAACGCGCAGATGCACAAGCTTTTAACACAGGAGCTTTTGCACACACACACACACGCCTTACAAAAAGAAGTTTTTAGACACAGAAGCTTTTACAGCCTTTTCACAAGAAAGCTCTTACACAGAAGCTTTTGCACAGAGATGCCTTTACAAACAGAAGCTTTTACACACAGAAGCTTTTACTCAGAGAAGCTTTTAAACAGAGCAGCTTTTACACATACAGAAGCTGTTACACAGAGAAGATTTTGCACAGAGAAGCTTTTTCACAGACAAGCGTTTGCGGGAAGGAACTTTGAGCACAAACGGTTTTTACAGACAGCAGCTTTCACACAGAGAAGCCTTTGCGCGGACCAGCGTTTACGCTCAGCTTTGTTTTCACAGAGCAGCGTTTATGCGGAGCAGCTTTGACGCAGAGAGGCCTTTACACAGAGGGGCTTTTACGCACAGAGGTTTTCACACGGAAGCTTTACACAGAGAAGCTTCTACACAGAGAAGCATCTAAACAGAGCATTTTTTTTACACAGAAGCATTTACGCGCACAACAGCTTTACATACACACAGAGTTTTTACACACAAACGCTTTTACGCATAGAAGCTTGTTTGCAGAGCAGGGTTTACACAGAGCAGCTTTTACACACCGAAGCTTTTACACAGAGAGAGGCCTTTGCACAGAGCAGCTTATACAATCTTATGCGCACAGAAACTTTAAACACGCAAATGCCCAAGCGTTTACGCAGACAGGTCTTTACACATAGAGGTATTTACACAAAAGTTATCAAAAGTTCTTCACACAGATGCGGCAAATGCTTCTACACACACAAGCTTTTGAAAACAGGTACCTTTCCACACAGAAGCATTTACCCAGAGATGCTTTGACATATACACGCCTATACACACAGAAGCTTTTAGACACAGATGGTTTTTCAGAGAATCACAGAAGCTTTGACACAGAGAAGCCTTTACAAAGAGAATCTTTTACACACAGAAGCTTTTACACACACACACAAGCTTTTGCACAGAAGCTTTTGCGCAGAGAAGCTTTTGAGCACAGGAGCTTTTGCACACAGACGTCTTTATACACAGAAGCTTGTACACACGGAGGCTTTTACGCACAGAAGCTTTTACACAGAGAAGCCTTTACACACAGACGCTTTCCCACAGAAAAACTGATTCCACAGAGCAACTTTTACACACTTCAAAAAATCGCAATTTTAGGTAAGTTATTGACGTTCGGCCATCATATAAGGGTTGCACCGGCGTTGGAAAATCGCAATTTTTGACGTTGGACAATCATTTTGCGTAAAAGGGTCGCGCCTGACCTTGTAAAATCGCAATTGTACACCTGTTTTATTTCGCGCGAAACCGTTGTGCCTGACGTTCAAAATGGATAAAGTCGCAATTTGACACCAATTCTTGAACGTTTGCACCTGACGTTTAAAAATTTCAGTTTCCCACAGTTATTGCCGTTTGACTTTCATGCCACGCTTGCATCTGAACTTTCAAAATCACAATTTTACACAAGTTGTTTAATGGTTGACCCTCATTTTCGTGCGAAGGGGCTGTGCCGGGCCTACCAAATTTGCATTTTGCCACGTGTTTGTGTGTCCGACCTGCGCGATCTCTGCAGAGGGTTGCCCGTGCTCAAAAGAAATTCACATTCCACCACATGTTTGGGCGTTCGAAACGCACGATCTCCGCAGACGGTTGCTGCGGGCAAAGAAGTTTCATTTCACCACACCACATGTTTGCCCATCCGACATGCACGATCTCCGCAGAGGGTTGCCCAAGGACAAACAAGACCCGTATTTCGCCACACGTTTGGGTGTCCGACACGCCGCAGAGGGTAACGTATCGTAAGCCACCGCCTGGCTGTCGCTGCCCCCAGAATCCCTACCCTCTTAAAAATGGAATTTGAGGGGGGGGAGTCGTACTGAAATTTCATTTTAAAATTCAATTTTTGCAATCATGCTTTCTCAATGATCACTATTCCTCATCATTCCATGTCATTGGCAAGCAGGTGAAAATTAAATACTTGCGCTTAGCTCCGGAGGGGCTAAGCACGTGTCAGACTGAAGCAGCACATGTGTAGGGATGGCATCCCTCCAAAAAATTGCGCTGCCGTGATCATACTTGCGCTTAGCTCCGGAGGAGCTAAGCGCAAGTATTTTCAAACCAGTTCCCAAGGCTTGTTAAGAAATGTTACTTTACAATTCCATTCGAGGGGTTGGATCACTATCCCAGGGTTTCCAAGCAAAAACAAGATGCAGCCCACTAACCCGAATGCTCACACATATGTTAATGGTACAGATGTCAAAACACATGGATATGCAGTCACGCACAACACTTTTCTGCAATAGTTTGCTTGAACAGTCTTGTACAGATTTCCCCTGTTACCAGTCTGCAGTGTGGAGTGGAAAGTGTGGAGTGTGGAGTGTAAAGTGTGGAGTGTGGAGTGTAAAGTGAGGAGTGGGGAGTATAGAGTGTGTAAAGTGTAGAATTGGAGTGTAAAGTGCAGAGTGTGGAGTGTGGAGTGGAAAGTGTGGAGTGTGGAGTGTAGCGTGTGGAGTGTGGAGTGAGCAGTGTAAATTTAAAAGTGTGGAGTGCGGAGTGCGGAGTGTAAAGCGAAAAATGTGAAGTGAGGAGCGTGGAGTGTGGAGTGTGGAGTGGAAAGTGTAGAGTGTAGAGTGTAGAGTGTCTAGTGAGGGGTGTAAAGTGTAAAGTGTGGAGTGTGGAGTGTAAAGTGAGGAGTGTGGAGTGTACAGTGTGGAGTGTAAAGTGTGGAGTGCGGAGTGTGGTGTAAAGTTAGAAGTGTGGAGCGTGGAGTGTGGAGTGTGGAGGGTAAAGTGTAAAGTGTGGAGTGTAAAGTGAGGAATGTGGAGTGTGGAGGGTGGAGTGGAAAGTGTAGAGTGTGGAGTGTGGAGTGTAACATGTAAAGTGTGGAGTGCAGAGTGTAGAGTGTACAGTGTAGAGTGTGGAGTGTGGAGTGTAAAGTGTAAAGTGTAGAGTGTAAAGTGTAGAGTGTGGAATGTAGAGTGTAAAGTGTAAAGTGTAAAGTGTAGAGTGTGGAGTGGGGAGTGTAAAGCGTGTAGTCAGTGTGTAGTCAGTGTGGAGTCAGTGTGGAGTCAGTGTGGAGTCAGTGTGGAGTCAGTGTGGAGTCAGTGTGGAGTGTAAAGTGTAGAGTGTGGAGTGTGGAGTGGAAAGTGTGGAGTGTGGAGTGTAAAGTGTAGAGTGTGAAGTGTGGAGTGTGGAGTGTAAAGTGAGGAGTGTGGAGTGAGGAGTGTGGAGTGTGTAAAGTGTAGAGTGTGGAGTGTAGAGTGTAAAGTGTAGAGTGTGGAGTGTGGAGTGTAAATTGTAGAGTGTAAAGTGTAGAGTGAGGAGTGTGGAGTGTAAAGTGTGGAGTGTAGAGTCTCAAGTGAGAAGTGAGGAGTGCAAAGTGTAAAGTGTGGAGTGTAAAGTGTAGAGTGTGGAATGTGGAGTCTAAAGTGTAAATTGTGGAGTGTGGAGTGTAAAGTGTAGAGTGTGGAGTGCGGAGCTTCCCTCATAGACACGGCGACGCCACAGGAAAACCAGAGAAACGGGAACGCTTGCTACGCATTCCGGAAAAAGTGGAATTCGAGATGTTGGTTTTGTCCCCCCCCGCCCTCCCCCTCTATAGGGGTAGGGAATTTGCCAGAGAGAAATAGAAGAACTGGAGAAGTCTGATTTTGCAGGGGTTCACATACAATTTGATCCGCTGGAAGTTGGCTGAACTCCTGTGTGCCAACTCCTGTGTAACAATTTCTGTGCAAATGACCTTGCAGGCAGGAGTCTTGTAGGAGTTCAAGTAGAAGTGGATGACCTGCAAATCAACTCCTGTGTAAATGACATTTTTCAAAGTTTTGTAGGAGTTCCCTAGAAGTTGATCACCTGTAGCTGATGTAGGTGATGTTGTCTATGGTGTAGATGATGAGGATGATGTTGTAAGTGATGCAAGGTTAGATAGGCTTGAAGATGTAGGTGATGTAGAGGATGCAATGATATAGATGATGGTGTAGGTCATGTATGCGGTGTAGATGATGTATGTCATGTAGATGAGGCTGATGGAAAAAGATTGTGTAGGTGATGTAGATTGTGTAGGTGATATTGATGATGATGATGATGGTGCTGGTGGTGGTGATGATGATGATGATCATGATGATGATGATGGTGTAGATGAAGATCCAGGGAAGATGGTGTAGAAGATGGTATAGAAGATGTAAAGGACATAAGAGATGTGGAAGATGTATGTTAGGTAGATGAAGCGAAGAGTGAGGCGGGCAGCAGTTCTTTGGGAAGAAAACCCTTCGCACAAGCTTCCGGCATACTGGCCACAGTATTGCAAACGCTTTTGGAAAAAGCGTTTTTTCATAAAGTGTTTGTGCTGTGATTACACCTTGCACGCCCGACTTCTAGAGTAAAAAGGGCGGGGCAATAAACATACTACACTCATTGCGTGTTTGGCAACTGTTTTTGTTTCTCGCTGTTGGGGATACTCTTTGGGCTTATCATTTTCAATCATTTTCAATATATACATATTACACACACATATTATTATTTATTATGTATACTAATTCCATGATATAGTTATCATTTGAGGGACGAGGTTGTGAAGGAGCGCTACGGGCTGGCATATGCAGTTCATTTGTAGACACATCTAAGATCTATATATGGATTGGTCCAAAATGGGTGATGTCCCAAATTGATAGAGTTGTTCGTTCGGAAACTGAGAATTTCGGGAAGAAGCTGGAAAAAGATCTAGGTTTCCTGGAGAAGAAATGTTAGATCCAGGATAAAACTCTAGGATTTAGTGATTAAAATGTGAAACTGATGAGAGGACCCATAGTTTGGGTGCACACATTTTGAGACAACCGCATATCTAAGGAAATGCGTTCATGAAGTATGGACTGCAAGCCAAGATTGGTCGCATGGATGGTGTGATCGTGGCCTATCACAACACCGCAGAAATCTTCGGCTTCCAATACATTCCATTGGAGGACATGGAGCGTTGTATCTATGGTGAATCCCTCAGTCTTCACGTTCGCCATTTAAAAAATCACCTGTCGTTGCACCGTTGCCCGAGGTGGCATGGAGGCAGCAGATGTGGCCTTCGATCTTAGCATCCAAATGTTGGAGAAGATCATGGATCTCCTCACCAAGGTGGGTTATGGTGGAGAGCTGGGATACCAAAATCTCAAGAGATAGTGCTGCTATGTTTTTTTTCTATGAGGTTTCGGAAGATACTGATGGTTTTTTCATTATTGAATTTGGGATCTACGGCCGCTGCTTTCTTGCTGTTGGGGATATTCT